TATATATATATATATATATATGAAATTCAAAGTTTCTGTGTGCTTAGCAGGCTATACATTTTTGAGAATTTGTTTCTTTCCTATATTTATATATTACCTTTATGTTCCACTTCCAGCCAGAGGAGGCTTAAATTTTTATTTATGGTTCATGAACATTCTCTTTTCCATGTAATTTATAAATCAACCTTACTTAGCTTTAAGAGTAGAAATGCATCCTAGTTTTTCATTCCATTCTCTTTTGATGTGATAAATCCTAGGGAAGAATCATGTGTAGTTATTCTGCATAGCAGTTAGCTAGTAGTGTGATCAATGTTTGTATGGGCTATGAATGACTCTCAAGCACCATTTTAAGATGAACATTTAATTTAAAAAAATACATTTCATTGGGCTACTGGAAAAAAGTGGATTCCTCCTTAATTATTAATAGCACTCACAGATAGCAATATAGTTCACAGTTAAAGCATGATGATATTTTAGCCCTAATGGGAAGAATTATTTCTAAGTTATGCCTGTGGTCTTTGTAAAATCATCATTAAGGATTTGTTTAATTATAACTTCCTAAATGACAGGATCATATCCATTGAATTAATGGATATCCAATGGACATCAAAGTTATATAAATATAGGTCCCTATTACAAATGCAATGGGAGGGAACAACAAAGGAAAATTGTGGAACATTGCAAGAAGCAGTAAATGCAACACCTAGAAAATAAGTAGTATTACTAATGAATTATTAGGAATGCAAAAATGAAGCAGCCTGGATTACAAGCAGACTTGGGTGAGTAAGCAGAATAATGTAGGAAAACAGGTTAGTAACAATTTTCAAAGAATTGCTAAATTCTCTGTTGCTATCATCTGCTTTAAGGAACCTAAACATATATACAGGAATTGCCTCTGCAGTACTGCAAATGGAAGTATTGTATGCGAGAGAAAAGAAAAAAACAAACAGACCAGCCTTCAAATAGGAAAGCAACAGATACGGTTAAAATACTCACTGACTTTTTAAGTTGCATGAGGAGGCACTTAAGTGCTAACAGTTCTATATTAACAAATATGGAATGTGTACCCTAGGAATTGGTAAAAAAAAAAGTATATACTGTACCTATACCAAAGAAATTACATGCCGGGGACTTTATAAAACACTGAAACATTGCAGTAATTCCTTACAAAGCAGAATAAAATCACCATGGAAAGAGAAAGGTCAAAGGAACAAACAGTTGCAGAGAAGGCAAGAGTTACAAGAACAAATAGCTAATGGAAGATGGATAATGGAGAGAATAAGCTTATTTAAGAAGGAGGTTTATCTTTGCTTTATTGACCACAGCAAGACATTTGATTATGTAGATCATGACAGAAACTGAAAGACATTAAAGCAGATGGATGTGCCATAACAGTTATTCTTTTGAGGAAACTTTACAATGAACAAGAAGCTACTGTAAGCACCAAGGAGAAACACAGTGATTCAAAATAGAGAAAATGAGGTACATAACACAGTAGACTATACATCAAATAGAAAAGCACCTGATACAGATGAAATGTCTACTGAATTGTTTACAGTGCAGGAGAAGAGTCCATTAAATTTTAATTCATGAATGTATGGCCTAGAAATTAGAAAATATTGCTGTATATACCTACTGTATACCAAAGGAAAGCAAATGTAACAAAATGTACAAATGACCAAACCATTGCCCCAATTCCTCATGGAAACAACGTTTTGGTGTTGTTTAAGATCTTACAGAGAAGAATGCAGCTATATGTGGAAAAAGGAGTGCTAAGTGAACTCTCAGGTTTCAAAAAAGGAATTCAATTAAAAATTAAATTAAATTAAATTGACATTAGATTGCTAACATAAGATGGATACAGAAGACAGCAAGATAATTTAAGAAGAAGCTTTACCTTTGCTTTATTGGCTAAAGGATGTTCCAGTAACTTAATTATTCTTCAAAAGAACCTTTACAACAAAAAAGAAGCAACTTGAGTCAGAAAAAACAAAGCTATTCAAAGTAGAGGAAGGATGTCTATTGTCCTAATACCAGTTTAACCTGTACAGTGAATGTATGATAAGAATGGCAGGATAGGAAGAAAAAACAGCTGAAATCAAAACTGGAGTCAAAACATTAATAATTTGCATTATGCTATTTTTAGCTTTGTTAGCTGATAGTAAAGAAGATTTGAAAGAGCCCACTAGAAAAGTAAAAATAGAAAGTGGAAATTCTGGATTAATGTTAAATATTAAGAAGACAAAAAAGGCAACTAGTTTGTTTAGTGAATTCGCAGTTGTTGGCAAGGAAGTAAAGGTGGTAGATAGTTTCATTTTTTGGGGCAGATGTAAAATGTGCTTTAAAAGTAAAGAGATTAATTCTAACAAGGAAGGCAGTTATTATAATAATATGCCTTACGATAAAAGAGATCAGAATAATTAAAACAAGCAAAAATTCACATACTTCAGACGTGTAATATGAGCTGATCAAGAAAAAAATGACTATGCCTGACAAGTTTTGGGAACTAGAAGAAAAGAAATACAATGGATTAAGTAGATGAATGTTCTAGGAATTGCTGCAGATTGCCACCAGGGCCAGGCTGAGCTGGCTGGCATACAGCCACCAAGGGAGCAGACTCAACTCAGTGGCACCTAACATGCTAATTTAATTTTAAGATAATTTAAATTATTACTGAATACTGATGGAGATTTGGGAATAATCATTCTTGAAAATGATTAGAGCTTTTAGCTCTACAAACATCATTAACTTGTTTGTAGAACTGACATTTCTCAAGATTTCATAAGCTGAAATCTCAGTGTTTATATTACATTACTGTTAACATTTTCATTCCAAAGTGCAAAGCAACTTGAGAGAAATATAGTTCTGCTATTGTGCATTGCGTGCCTGGTTATTCTGTCTAACCTAATGCAAGAATGGCAATTTTTTCTTGCCTGGGTTTACCCTTTTTTATGAGTTTCTGTTCTGCATGGGAGGGATGACAGACCAATCTTGTTTTCCACTATTTATTAATTTATTTTATTTTATAGGGCTTATGTGTCACTTCAGTTCAGCAGGACTCTGAATAGCTTTTATGACTTTGGTGGTTATTGTCTGCTCCACTAGGTAGACCAGACCAGGAAATAAACTCCTTTTATTGAGATAATAAAATTATAATAATATATGTGTAATATACTTTTAATAATATATTGTAATAATATAATAACCAAATCTTGCAAATTTGATTATGTTGTACCTCCTCCTTATATTCCAGCTGCTTCCAGATGTTATTTTATTGTTCTGGACTTTTAAAATGTTTCAGCCCCTTTTGCTTTGGTAATGGTTTCTGCATATTTCCGTCAAGCCTATTGGAAGTTAGTGCATCTGTCCAAAATCAGCAAGAAATTATGTCATGATCTCAAAGGATTCTAGAACTGTGAAAAATAGGGACTTGGGGGCTGGGTACAGCTCAGAAGTTGTCACATGGCCATTCCAATGCATCTTGCAGTGTAGATGAAAATGAACATGCCCATAGTGGTGACATCAGTATGAATATTACTGCTTAGAGTTTTGAAGTGATTTACAATTATTTCTCAAGATGATACAATGATTTTAGTTTTATACATTCAATTAATTATTTAATTGATGAATTAATGAAATAATGAATTCTAAATTTTATGACAATTATAAATTGTTTTTAACTGATATTTTATTTTCCAAACACTATGTCTTTTCTCATTTTTTCTTTTTTATGTAGTCATTATTTTATTCTTTAAATGTTTTAAAAGAAACAAATGCTTTCTATCTCTGTCTCTCAAGAAAATTAACATGACCATCTACTTTTTCCTGCCATTCCTCATGCCAACCTTTATGTCTTAAAAAATGTGGGATAGGCAACATGGTCTTTCTTGAAAGAATTCTCTTTATTATTCAGTCTAAACTAAAATAACTCAATCAAGACTTACTTCTAATTTTGATAGATAAAAAGCTATGGCAATGGTATCTGATCTTGCTTACTTTTCCCCCCCCAGATATGAAGGGAGAAATGGTTAAAAGAATCTTCAGTGACAGTAAGTGTACAGTAAATATTTAATTTTCTAGGAGACAGAAGTCTCCTTTTAAAGTAGTTTCCAAACTAGTCATATTAATCTGGTGTTGCTGGCCACCCTAGATAAATGTAAACTGGGCTTCTTTTGACTTCACAAGATTTATTATCTGATGGAATGAAAAAAAAAAGGCATTATATCCATTTAGATGGTCTCTCCAGTTTGTAGGAGACATATTGCTGGTTGACTTCTCCGTCAATGAAGGGAGCACTTGTGAATTTCTGGACTGGCTTTGGTGTCTGGGAACTGGAGTTTTAGATAAATGCTCCAGTTTGATTTTTTATTCTCAATCCCTCCCCCTTTCCTTAGTAAATAGTGCCATCTGTTCAAGATGCTAATGCCTTAAATATTGCCACCAAGCAATAACAGTGTTGGTTTCTCTCCTTCTTGAATCTTTCTTCCTGGACTGGATAAGAAGTATGACAACTCACCTTGGCTTCAATCAGTAGAATGGCTCCACATTGCCTTGAAAATTCTGGGATATATTACATATGTTCTTATAACCTCCAAGAAAATAGAGAGAGTAAGGCAAATCTCAATTTAAAATTGGTAGTTCCCAATAGCAACACTGAACTCAACACTGATAACCAACATTTCTCAAAATACTCCTACTTGATTTAATCTGACAAAAAGTTACATGTATATTCTTGTTGCCTTGATTAGTTAGATCCCAGCCACTTTAATACAGCAAGGAAAGATATGTAATTGAGGAAGCTGGTAAGTTTTAGTTTTATATATTGTGTAGCAAAGCTCAGAGAACAAATCACAGAACAAGGGTTGGGTTAAAAGTTCTGCCTGGGAACCAGCAACCTATTTAACCATACTTACCTTTCCAAAGCTACAAAGAGAATTCTTTGGAGCTAGATACTATGTTCTCCCATCTGTGTTTTTATTTTTTTATTTATTTATTCAATTTATATAGCTGCCCATCTCAGACCAGTGAGTGTGGGCAGCTAACAACAATAAAAACAGTCAACACTTAAAACAGTACAAATATATATATAAAAACAGCCAAGAGATCTTTAAAAACCCCGTTTTTATAAGGTAAATATTATACAAATTTTCTGGACAAGACAAACTGCCCATGTAAATCTGGGGAAATTGAAATGGTAAGTTATATTTTATTATTCTGCCATTTCTATAAGGACTTGCATTTAAAATACATTAGCCCTATACTGCTGGATTTCCCAGGCAGATTGGAGGAATTTTATATTATTCTGCTCTATCTGGATATGAAGTATCACCTAACTCTTAGAGTAGCCAACTGTCATGTAGCTGCTTTGAAAACAGAACAACAAAGTATTCAATATGGTTCCTTGGATGAGATGGGCTCTGATTAGAGTTTGGAAGTGTTTTACAAGTTTATGTTTGATCAATTTGTTTATAGATTGAACTTATATTTCAGTATGCTTTAAAGTACTTCACCTGCATTTTGACTGAGAAGAATTGTTACTAAATTTACCGAGCCTAGCAGGGTATAGAAGAAAAAAATTACCATGCTTGAATATGATTAGCCCTTGAAGGCACTGAATTGTAGCATTTTGTTAGTACAGAGGTTTTGCTGTGAAGCTGACAACTGTAGTTAGATGTGAGTAAACCTTCTTCTTTGATTTGTCTTTGCAGTTACTGTTCTGATCAGTTTTATGACCAATGTATCTATTAAGCTGAGAAATCTTTTTTCTCCTTGGCATTAGTAGTCTGTGGGCTTCGACATAACAGATCATCAGGAACATCAAGAATAACTGGAGGAGTATCATCTGGGGATTGGCCATGGCAAGCCAGTCTCCAACGAAACAACATCCATCGTTGTGGTGCAACATTGATCAGCAACACATGGCTCCTGTCTGCAGCACACTGTTTTAGAGAGTAAGTTTCCAAAAGGGAAAAATTATGGTATATTTTGACTAGTATGTTAAACAGTTCTGGTTGAATTCTATAATTAAGGAAATGCAGCTATAGTAAGATTCAAAAAATAATTTGGCCTGCCTCAATACATATGAAACAGCATCATTATCAGCATTTATTATTGTAATTCTTGATCACATTAAAGATACATTAATTTTAATTTAACTTACCAAGTATAGGTAGTCCTCGACTTACAACAATTGGAACTGGAACTTCCGTCGCTAAGTGATGCAGTTGTTAAGTGAGTCACACCAAATTCTATGACCTTTTTTGCCACGGTCGCTAAGTGAATCACACAGCCATTAAGCAAATCTGACTACTCCCATTGACTTTGCTTGTTGGAAGCCGCTTGGGAAGGTTGCAAATGGCGATCATGTGACCCTGGGATGCTGCAATCGTTGTAAATACATGCTGGTTGCCAAGCGCCCAAATTTTGATCATGTTACTGTGGGGTTGCTGTGTTGTAAATACAAGGACTGGTTGTAAGTCACTTTTTTCAGTGCCATCATAACTTTGAACAGTCGTTAAATGAATGTTTGTAAGTCAAGGACTATCTGTAAACCATTTAATATAGACCTGCATAACTTTCATGTGATGGAAATGGCTGATTCTAACCATGAGTCCTTGAGAAATATGTTGGTATAGAAGTATAGACAATAAATAAAGCTTCAGTAAAATTGTTGTTCTTTCTGAATAATCATCTGAAAGAAAATGTTGCATATAAAACTCTTTGGTCTTACCAGGCACAGGAACCCGGAGAGGGGTAATAGGTTCCTGTCAGGAATCCCTATAATAAGAACAGGGTAATAATAAATTATTTATTGATTCATTAATTTAATAAAATTTCTAGACTACCTTAGTTGCAAGACTCTGGGCACTGTATATCAATAGTAATAAAAACAACATTCTGCAATTTATCTCCCATCCCAGAGTAAAAAGCCCATCAACAGAATAAATACAAAACAATGTTGGCTAATACGATAATCTAGGGTTCAACTTCAAAGGCCCATGTCTATTTTTTTTTTTTAAAGGGAAGGGATTGAGAGCTTTCTGAATGTCAGGAGTGAGGAGCCCAAGCAATTCTTTGGGAGCAGCATGTTCCATATTGTCCAGGCCACTGAGAAGGCCTGTCATCTGGCCCACATATCTCTTGCCTCTTGAATCAGTGTTTCTTTCTTCATGCACTACAGGAGCAAAATCATTCCATGTACAGTATGAGATATTTCAGGCTTGATAGAATCTGCCTTAAAGCAAGGTCAGAAGAAGGGCATTCAAATGAATAAGAAGGGAATTCAAACTTCCTCTTCTTAGAAATAGTGAACTTAGAGCAGTAGTCTGCTGTCCTGAACTAATTCCTAGTGTCTCCAAAGGTATAATAATTGAGATACGAATAATTGCTATTTGCATAATTGAGGTTGCTTTGTGAAGACCATTACCTTTGTCCTTTGGCAGTTATGGTTCAGCCCTTCAGCTATACAATAGGAGACAAAAGCCTTAAGAGCTCCTTTCAATTCTGCTGGCATGACTATGAGCACTGCCATGTCATCTGTGTATAAAAGCAAAAGGAGATATCAGGCTTCTGGCCAATTATCCAATGCTGTAACAAAGAATAAAGGAGTAAAATAAGAATATATCTTAACCCGCCTCCCTCACTATTCAGTCTTTATATTAACACAGAAGTTGATAATTCTACCTTCCCTAGTTATGAAACTTTCATGTAGGAGTAAGACCATTTATCCTGCTATTGTTTATTTTAACTGACAGTGGATACTAGTCCGTGATCTCAGTTGGCAGTCCTTCCCATCACCTATCTATTTTAACTGGAGATGCCAGGGATTAAATGTGGGCTTCTCTGCATTGAGAATATATCCCTTATCACTGAATGATAGCCTTCCAATAACATAAATATTCTTATAGAACAAGGCTCAATATAAAATGTGTTCTGAATTAAGAGGAACAAAAACAACACATTATTGCAGCAAACATCTAGATTCAGGCTATATATGGATCAGTTGCATAACTGGCTGAATCCAAATGTTTGCTTGTCTACTTTTTCAGAAGCTGCAACAAGAACTGCAATTTTAAGCTGAGCATCCTCTGACACCAATTTGTTTCCCTTTGTAATACCTAAGTTATGAATGCTCAGGAGAAAAGCAGAGAAGCAAAAGAGTTAAGCAGCATTTTTCCCCACCCTGCTGGCCCTTCTTTCAAAGTTGCTAGTCTTCTCTCAATATTGCTAGTCTTTCATTGTGCAGTCTTTGACTTAAATCAGGAAAATATTAGGGAACAATTCCAGCAGTTTAGGCTCAAGTGATTCTGAAATACAACTCTTACCTTAGAATATTATATTATCTTATAATATTCTAATTCAGAACACATATGCATATGTTCACTTTATACAGCTTCATCTGTATGAAATTAGATGATCTGAGTTCCATGATGGGGTGTCAATGTACCAAACAAATATATAAGAATGGAGACGATCTGAAGATGATGGCCTTGGCCTTGGCCATTTTACAACACATATTGTACAATAAAAACAGGATTCCCAGAATTACATTTGCCTCATTGAGGGAGTAACCATCTCCAGGGTAGTGTCTTCGTATTTCACATTTTCCCCAATGTGAATTGTTTCCCCTAAACAATATCCTTTCTTCTTAGCATGTTATCCCCTAGCAAGAGTCTGACTAGGAAAGTGCGGGGGTATAGGAAGAGTAAATAAACCATAATAAACCATTGTTTTTGCACACTGGGTCTCCTGTAAGCATCCTCTTCGTAAATTCCAGGAAATGTGGATTTAGGAGTATATGCTTTGAAATTAAATGCTCAGCATGACAGACATTGGTATCACAGGAAAAGGGATAAGCAATAGTGCATGTCAGCCTCTTTTGTGCTCTGAATCTTCACCATATGCTATTCACATATTTTCAAGATTCATGCAACCATGAATATTAGAACACCAGTTTGAATCAGTTTCACAGATACAGATATAACACATACATCCATTCCTGTGGATTTATTGTGCAAAGACATTTTATTGATATATTTGTCAGTAACTCTTTTTGATGAAACTCTGGATAATTCACAATGACATCTCTCTTTTTTGTTTTCAGAGCAAAAAATCCACATAAATGGACAGTTAGCTTTGGAACCTATTTAAGGCCTCCTCTAATGATACGGCTTGTCAAAACAATTATAATTCATGAAAAATATAAGCATCTAGACCATGAACATGATATTGCTGTTCTGCAGTTGACTAAAAGTGTAGAGTTTACAAGTGCAATTCATCGAGTTTGTCTCCCAGATTCAAGTGAAAAGATTCCATATAATATTGATGCTGTGGTTACAGGATGGGGAGCACTTAGTAATGATGGTAAGTATGCCAACTTAGAAGACTATAGTATTTTATGCTGTTCATTAATTATAAATTTTAGATAATGAGGAAGAGAAGATTATTCTTTTTGGAATCAGAGCTGATATTCATCTATCATTTGCCAGCCTGGTCTCTGGGTTATATTGAAATGTGCCTTTGTATCTATACTTCTATAATTGTGATGGAGGACTTGGATGAGGAGTTCAAGGTCATGGGGAGAAGCATCTCCTCAGCCCATAGCCTGAGCATGTGAAAGCA